AGTTGGCGGTTAACATTTACCGAGTTGCATTTCTCTCCCTACCTCTGTTATATTAGTATATAAATTGGGTAACTATAGCACTGCTCTACCCGTCATGAGATATCGTGAGCCGTCTAGTATATATACCAAAATACTGTACATCATTCGGAAAATAAATAGAGATGAACAGCTAGTTGTCAATGGCAGCCATTCCCATTACGTCATATGAGTGGGCGGAGCTTAGCGGCGTGTCACACTGATTGCCACCGGAAAAGACACGTCTGAGCATGTGCCTTTGTGTATATTTGCTTGTGAGTACTTGAGTCCATTTTTTACTTGTATATGTGTGTATGAGCATGTGTATGCGTGTGTGTTCTAGAGTGTCAGTGTGTTTTGGTGTTTGTGAGTATGTGTATTTGAATGCTAGCGTGAGTTTGGGTCGGGTGTGCATGAGTGACTTTCAGAGTGAATCTGCGTGAGTTTGTTTGTGTTTCAGAGTTCGTTTGGGTGTGTTTGCGTGCGTGTTTGAGCGCATATGTGTTTGAAATTATATCATCTGTGCGTGTATAAATGAGAATGAATACATGTATTTCTGACAAAGATATAATCGAAAGAAGTCAATTGAATTTCTTGTACAGTTAAGATATTTATTCCCATTCATAACTTCTCTACATTTGTCACAGTGAATCGAGTGTATATGTTTGTGTGTGTGTGTGTGTGTGTGTGTGTGTGTGTGTGTGTGTGTTGGTGTGTGTGGGTGTGTGTGTGGTGTGTGTGTGTGTGTGTGGTGTGTGTGTTTGAGCATAAGTTTGAGCTTGTGACTGAGTATGTATGTGGTTCTGTGTGTTTGAGTTTGTATTGTTGAGTGTGTATGACTGAATATTTGTGTTTGAGAATGTTTAAGCATGTGTGTGTTTGAGTGCGCTTCCATATGTATGTGTGAGTGTCTGTATATGTGGTTGTTTGTTTGTGTGCGTCTGGTAGAGTGCGTGTTCGAGTCTGTGTGTGATTGAAAGTGCGTGTTTGAGGGGGTGTATTTTAGTGCGTCTGTTTACTTTTAAGTATGCACGATTTCAAGAGTTTGCATTGCAATGTGTGTATTTTAACAGGGTATTTAAAAGCATAGTGTTTGTGTGCAGTGTGCAACAAACAGCACGAGTCGTGTGTGTGTGTGTGTGTGCTTGAAATGTGTAATGTTATGTTTCTTAGAGAGCGTTGTTTGTTGAATGAGTTTGTTTAAGTGTGGTGTGTGTATTGAATCTGTTCGCATGTGTATGTGTGTCTGTTTGTGTGCACACGTATGTATGTTTGCGCGAATGCCTGCATGCATGTGTGTGCGTGTGTCTGCACGTACGTATATGCGTGTGCGCATACAGGCGTGCCTACCTGCATGAATAAGTGTGTATGTTTGTATGTATGTGCCTGTATGCATGTGTGTGCGTGTGCGTGTTTTTGTGAATATGCGTGGATCTTGTTGTAAGTGGGTGGGTGTAGGTGTGAACATGCATGTTAAGATCCCAGTAAGAGCGAGAGCCTGTGCTTGTTTTCAAAAGCATTCACATGTACGAGTGTTTAACGGTGAGTGTATGTCCTAAAATAGCAAGCGTGTATACACTGATAAAAGAGGGTGAGCGTTTGTGTACGTGTGTGTGTACGTGTGTGCGTGCGTGCGTGTGCGGGCGCGTTAGGCCGTGAGTAAGCTTACTCACCCATGAGTGAGGACATAGAGCGGCGCGGAAGTGTCAAGCCCGGAGCTGTAGATCCCCACAAAGTCGACGGCTTCCATGACCTGTTGACATGACGTTGACATGAGTTGGGGGAGGGGGGGGGCGAGGGGGTCAGGAGGAGGGAGATGAGGGTGCAGGGCGAGGGATGAGGAGATGGGGGTATAGGGTGAAGGATGAGGGTACAGGGCGAGGGATGAGGTGATGGGGGTATGAGGGGATGAGGTCAGGCGAGGGATGGGGAGATAAGGGTATGAGGGGAATGAGGAAACGAGGAAGTGAAGGAAGGAGCGAGATGAGGGAGTGAGGAGATGAGAAGGTGAGGGGAATGAGGGAAGGGTGCTCTAGCATGGACATCCGCTCGAGATAAGTGAAGTGAAGAGCTGAAAACGGACTTTTTGGCTTATATATATATATTTTTTTTTTTTTTTTTCTAATTATCATGAATTTCTATTAGCCGTTTCAGTCCATTAGGGATTAATATTATGAGCATTTTTTCTTCATTACAAAAAAGAAAAAGACAAAAGGCGGACGTTAGTAATAAAATAAAATAGAATAAAATCCACAACGCTTGTTATATGAAAATTAGTGCATATAATTTTCTTTTGCCAAATTTTTTGAGGTACTGTTTTGTGAGGCAAGAACATGCACGCTCACACAAAAGCCATATACGCACACGAAGAAACTCACATACAGATACTTACACGTAAACGTATCCAACCACTTCTCAGCCATGCACACACACTTTCCCTCCCGCTAGACACACACACTCTATCTCTCCACCACCGCTCCCACCT